GAACAACAGACACCATTGCTGCTTCGAAAGACAGATGGAAGTGGAGGTCCATGATCGCCCACGCCAGTCGGCAAGGCACCGGATGATGATGTGTACACATAATATTATGATGAAATAATATATGCAAATTCATGTCTCTGATAATTTGTATGTTATATCGTTCAAATGTCAAGGTGTTGGAATGGACTATGCCCAGAAAGCAATCCTTTTTCAAGAGAGAGTTTAGTTTTAGTAAGAGTTTTACGGCACTTGCAACGCGATACGGTCATATAAGTGCCGAAGATTAGAGGTGTTACAAGAGAGAAACAAACAGAAAAAAGAAGGAGGGGAGATAAAGACGATAGATGTTTGATAGGAAAAAAAGAAGCAAACCACACCAGAGCACCCGCCAACCTCCCACTTCAGGAGGGCTTTTCAGGAGAGAGAAAAGATTGTTTTATTCTTTAAACAATTGTACCCGCATTACGTTTTTTTCCTCGCTTTTTTCAACATTTAGGACATAAATTTCCACAATATATTACTTGAACACATGTAACCAATACCACAAATTACGAAATTGCAATAAACAATATTTGTTCAAAAGTTTGGGCTTAGTATATTGCAACAGCTGGCCGACGGCATTTTATATCTTTATTTATATCTATCTATCTATCCATCTACCCATCCATCCATCCATCCATCTACACACACATACACGAAAGCAGACAAAACATGAGTAGAGAGGAGGAAAGGAGGTGAAATGAGAATGCATGTACATGTATTTTAGAGGAATAAAAATTCCGTCGCTGTCAGGTTTCGAACCCATGAACTTTTGAATAAGAGCTGAACACCCTACCTCTAAACCACGACAGCCTCACGGACAACAGTAAATGCATCAGTATCCACAGCAACATAGTAGCAAAACGTCATCATCATCATCATCATCATCATCATCAAAAACTACAATAACACTAGCAGCAACTAAAACAAGACACCACCACAAACTCAACAAAAACAAAATACCAAAACATCACTATCACCAACACCATCAACTATAACTATAATAAAACACCACCATCGCCACCAGCATCAACGTAGCAATAACAACAACAACAACAATAATAATACACACTATTTCAGTCGTGAGCTTGTGAACTTTCTACACCTCCACCACCACCACTAACAACAGCAGCAGCAGCAGCAGCAGCAACAACAACAACAACAACAACAGCAGCAGCAACAACAAAAACAACAACAACAACAACAGCAGCAGCAGCAGCAGCAACAACAACAACAACAACAGCAATAACAACAACAACAACAGTAATAACAACAACAGCAGCAGCAGCAACAACAACAACAACAATAATAACAACAACAACAGCAATAACAACAACAGCAACAAAAAACATTACATTTGCGGTGAGCTTGTGCACTTTCTCCAAGCCTAGCCAAAAGTCCCCGGTCAGATCGCCAAAGCCGTACTTGTAACTGGCCCAGTTATGGTAAAACGACACGTTTCTCGAAGTTCGCCTCTGTTCATCGATGGGGAAAAGATTGTACAAGGACTGTAACATGACTGTAAAATGATTGTAAAGTTGTAAGAAATCTATTGTAAAATGATTGTAAAGTTATTCAAAAGTTATTGTGAGATGATTGTTAAGTTGTTATGAAAAGATAGTAACACGATTGTAAAGTTATTGGAAAGTCATAGCATGATTGTAAAGTTAGTCCAGTTATTGTAAAACTATTTTAAAGCTACATGTATTAAAAAAGTTATAGTGAAATGATTGTAAAGTTGTTATATAAAGATTGTAAAAGGATTGTACAGTTATTGGAAATTTATTGTAAAATGATTGTAAAGCTGTATAATGGTTTGTGTCCGACCATGAATAAACAAATTAATTGTATTTTCTATCTGTCCTCTTTACAAATCATCATCATCATCCAGTGCCAGACTGCGACAGACATCGGCGATCATGGTTCTCCATTCATTCCTTTGCTCGGATGCTCTCAAAAAAGCTACGTTTCCCTGGCCTTTTCCTGTTACCCATTTGTTTAGGCTCCCCAAGTATGTTGTTCTGGGCCTACTCCTGCCTCGCTTGCCCTCAATTTTGCCAGTGAGAGCTAGATGTTCAAGACCCCTATATCTATCCAGGTGTCCCAAAAACTGTATTTGTCGTTTCCTGATTGTTTTTAACATTGAGCATTCCCACGTGGGCTTCATCAAGCACTACCTCATTTGATTTCTTTTCCTCCACGATACTCTTAGCAGTCTCCTAAGAAACCACATTTTGTTGCTTCTATTTTATTTTCACTGTCGTTAGTGATTGTCCAGCATTCACAGCCATATAGAAGGGTTGACCATGTAAATATTGTGGTTAAATAAAAATGTTTTCGACGATGCGACAACGTTAATTTTGTTTACTCAACTCTCCGGTAAAAAGTTGGACTGTGCTATGAGCATAGATTTACATTGTAGTACGCATGAGATAACTCATCTATGGCTGCGAGTGCACTAATTTTGTGCGGTTGTTAGTAAGGAAGAAAAAGACACCTTTCGTCCGGGGGGGGGGGGGGGTGCCTTTCGATATGATGCTA